GTTGAAGTTTTGGTTGTGAGCCTAGTCTCTAATGGCTGAACCATTTCTATAGTCCCCCAACCACAGTTCTAACAATAACTGTGATTATTAACGCATATTATTAACACATGTATGCACTTGGGTCATATTTTTTGGAGAGAACTGTTCCACAGCACAAGCCCAAACCCTTTACTGTAAGAACTTAACTGTTTACAAAATATCAAAGTTTTCCTTTACGTTGCCACAGAGCAAAGACAGCTAAGTCCAACTCAGAGCCATCCAGAGAGGTGAGGCCTGCACAGGGAATTTATCTTTCAAAACAGAGTCAGGTGAGTGAGCTTGCCATTCCACAAAGGACTCTGGGGTTCTGGGATAAACACATGGGAATCAGGTTTAGTGTGAGAGGCATTTTTAAAAAAAAGGAGACAGAAGATTACAAAATTCAGTCACATTTCAAAATTTTCTGCTACAATAATTCACTTTATGTCGAATTAATGTGGCTGATTGAACGCTTGTGCTGTAATTTAGTTATAATTAACATTTTATGGTGAGCAGATTTTACCATCTTCTTCGTGCTGCGAACTCTAAGCCATAGGTCAAAAATAGAGATGAAACAGATAAGCACAAAATACTCTCGCTGAAATATTAATGAGATTTTAATTTACTTCTTTAAAACACATCTTTCATCAACATCTGTATATAAAATCACCATTTTCAAATTTTTAAATCACATTAAAAATATAATGCACCGTCTCTAGGAAGCACCTTGGAAATCTGATACATGCAAGACATGGCAGGTAGTTCTGGCAAGTTCGCAGCCTGCTGTGGTGACAGGCATTGTCTCATGAAGCAGCAGCCGTTCAAGACAAGAGGCGGGAATCTCTTCTCCATTAACCAGGAGGTTCTGCCATAGAGGAACCTCTTCCACACACCAGCCAAGCAAAGCAGCTACTCTTCTCGATGCCATGGAGCTCCAGAGCACAGGGATCTTTCATTTGTTCCATTTACTTTAAGGGAGGGGCTCATGTTCTGAGAAGGAACTCCAGGGTTTCCGATGGAGTGAGCCCGAGGACAGGGGCCTTTCATTCTGCACTGACACTGTCTCCAGCTAATGCCTTCCAAGCGACAGTAATCTATTCTTTGTCCCTCAGTGCCTCGAATAGAACATAGGTCCTCCCCCACGCTACGAAAGAACTTTTAACAGAATCACATCTCCAGATGTTTTTGTTAAATCTTACTTTGAAATAGGGTCTTACTAAGTGACACAGGATGACTTTGAACTTGTAATCTTCAGAGTAACTGGGATTATAGGCCTGTACTACTATGCCTGGCCAAGGGTTACCATTTCTACTAACACACTAAATATTCACTCTTCTGACTCAATTCTTCAACATGTGGCTTAACAATCTGCCTATACGGTCACTTCTGTTCACCTTGCTGGATAATTCTTTCCTTTAGCTGGATTTACCATATACCTCTGACAGAGAGAGAGAGAGAGAGAGAGAGAGAGAGAGAGAGAGAGAGAGAGAGTGTCTATGTGTGTATTTGCATGAGTGTTTCGTGTCAAAGTGTACTTAAAACACACAATATCTATTATTTATTTTGTCTACTTGTAATTGGCAGAATAAATGTCTGCTTACAGAATAGCTGATTTATTGGGTTGGTACTTGGTCCTCTGGACATGAACTCCAAAGGGTTGCTTGTTTACAAAGAGGCTATCACCTGCTTCTTTCTGTACCTTGTCCCCTAGTGTGGGGTTAGGATACTGATCCATTCCCTTGAAAGTAAGACAGCCCATGACTACTTTGACCAATAGTACATGATGGAAGTGATCTTGTGTCAACCTGGGTCCATATTTTAAGGGGCCTAGAAGGCTCTTCTCCCCTCACCTTATAATATGTGCTCTGGCTAGTTCTAGTTGTTAGGTTAGAAGGTCCACTATTCACTATTCACACTAGGTAAGCCATCCCAGCCAAAGTGCTAGGTATGGAAGCTAGAGAGCCATTGTGGATATATGAAACTGTCAGGCACAGACCCCATGTGGAGAAGTCTGCAGACAGAACTGCACTGTCTATGTGTCCACACCATCTTGAGTCCCCCAGAGAAGTACCAGACATCAAGAACAGAGATGATCCCCCCAACTGCTCTGTACCTACAGTTTCCACCCACAGAACTCAAGGACACCTCACCATATTGCCATTTGTACCATCGCATTATGGGTGCTTTGTAAGGCAGTTGTAGAGAACTGGATCATTCTCAAATGCTGTAGTATATCCCATGATCTTGCTTTCAATACACTACCAACCTCTTCTCGTTCTGAAGAGAAAAGCTAGACACAAGTATGATCTTCTTGAAACTCTGTCAAGGATGGTGGGAATTTTGTGGGCTCTTTTCACCATCATTTCACCATCAGCAGACTTAATTAAGCAAGCAGGAATGTTGAAGCTGATGTCAATCCCCAAAGATTACAAACCTCATGAGGGCCTCATTTATTAAATACACTTCTTTGACTTCTCTAACAGAGTCATTGGATCACCAGGCCCACCAAGTCCAGTGTTTTCTCTGGAAATTTTACTCGGGTTAGTTAGCACCAAATACGCCCCTTTCTCTTCCTCCACCTCCTCCTCCTCCTCCTCCTCCTCCTCCTCCTCCTTCTTCTTCTTCTATCATTCAGACTTCTCCAAAGAATTGTTCACACTTGTTTCGATTTCTTCTCCTTCTGTTTATCATTCAACACACTCTGAGTGTGCCTAACAACTATTTCCTTTCTAGTTAGAAGACTCTCTTCACCAAAACCAAGCAAGTAAGCCAACAAACAAACAACAAACAGATAAACAAAAACCCAGCTGTTCATGGCAAAGAGACAGGAGGAAACTAGAAACCCAACAGAAAGTATGGATCTCATTTGTATGAGCTACATCTTATCCGTTCAGCCACAAATCTCTGCAGATAGTCAAGACTTTCTCATCATTTATACAATATTGGAAAATCCAGACCACTAGGCATTGGACACTTAAAAATAACTGCTAGAGAAAATTAACCTGGGCCTTGATTTATCTTTTCCAAGATCAGATTCTATGAAAATCAAGAACTTTCATGCCAGGAAAATACTATCTATTATTTTTTTTATTTTATTTTAAATTACCTGTATACGTGAGAGTATATACACACATGCCTGCAGGCACCTAGAGAGGTAAGGAAAAGGCACTGGATTCCCTAGATCTGAATTGTAGGCTTTAGTGACCAGCTCAACGTGGAGGCTGGGAACCAAACTCTAGGCCTTGTAAGACCAGTATGCACTGTTGGCTACTGAGCTCTCTCTCCAGTCCAGCTGCCTACCTTTTCCACAAATGATTTACAAGTGGAGCTAGGATACACACACAAGACAGAATTTGTTCTAGATCCAAATCTTTAAGTGCAAAGGCAGTCATTCACCCCTCATCAAAGAAGCTTCTTTTTGCAGCACAGAGACTGTTACAGAAAGCCACGCCTAGTCAAATGCAGATAACTGACTGTGGGATGCACAATCCCAATGGATACATCCACAGCATAACCCCCACACCTGAGGCGCAGGGAACACTGGAGAGAAGATGGAAAAATGGTAAGATGCAGAGGACCCAGACATCTGCTGCGAGACAGTGTCTTATGCATGGCAGGGAGGCTGTACCCACGAAATCTCAACAATATTGTTGCCTAAACAAGACCAGAAAAGTAATACCTGTTGGCAGTCAGTGCGGATGGGGGAAATCTCACAAGCCACCCATCCCCAGATGAAGAGCTATAATGGATGCTGGGGGGGGATCAGTCTTCTCAAGGGACAAACTCCTGATGGGTTATCCACTGCCAAGAGGTCAGCCATCAAAACAAACACAACACATGTGATCAATACTAAATGGTCTCAGCAGGCTTATTTACACGCACGCACACACACACACACACACACCACACCAATAATAAAGAAGAAGAGATCTTGAATTTGAGGGGGCAACAGGAGGAGTTGGAGGGCAAAGGAAGAGGTGGAAATGATGTAAATATCCTAGGGTCTTACGAAATTCTCAAAAAACATAAATTAAAAACGGAAAGTGTCATTACAAATGCAACACGTCTTTCTTTTCTTTGGCTCCTGAAGCTTTGCTCCATGTCTACCACAGATGGGATAAGCTCATAAAATCTGATAGGACCTGAGGTCTGGCTTTCATGCCAGATTCTTGTTCTACAACAAAGGTGAGCTATTTAGTCCACAGAAAGAGTCCCTGTGGTCTGCAAGGGCCAAACGCTCCTCAGTATCTATGCCTTCCTGACCACAGCATTTGGAAACAGGAAGGTTTCTTAGCATGACAGAAGAGACAGCTCATCCAATTCTTTACCACATCACAGGACCACACAAATTAGGGGGTACAAAATGAAGACCCCCCCCCCCTGCTCCAGTAACATACAACAGAATACACATGATGGATACCTGGTCATTCTTCCTATTCTGTATTCACTTTATTGACCATATCAGCTCCAGGTCATTCCATGGGCATAAAGGTGACACTAGACAGACCCAGATGCCCATAAAGAAGGTAGCCCAGCCTCTGAGTTCAACTAAGTCACTCTTTTCCCTTTACTTTGTGAGAAGCTCCAAACCATTCAAAGGCCTTATTAGAATTTCAAATGGAAAACTGACTACTTTGAGCGTTGTGAATCAACTACAAACGGCTTTTAAAATTGTGTCATGAGAACATACACTTGTAATTTTCTTCCTCCCTTTAAACAATATTGCTCTTTTTTTCCTCAAAGATTTATTTGTTAAGAAGCTGGTAGCAATTTATTTTTGCTGAGGGCATCAGTGTGATTTGGGGGAAGAATGTGGGGGTGGCAGGTAGCGAATCCTTGACCCAGGGTTAGCTAGCGCCTCCCAGCACTCTACCCGCCTATGGTGCGTGCCCTGTTCTTAATTAACTTCAATGCATTGATGATTTTTTTTTTTAATTCTTCATTTTCTTTTTTAAGAACTTGAAGTAAAAAACATCACTTACCTAGAACAACTTGCTTTTCAGGTGTTTCCAGTTCAGGAATCCAGGCCGGAAGTCCCAGACAGCCCCTGACAAGAACAGATGACTAGGCAGCCCCTCTTTCCTCTGATGGGGCCACTGGGTGGGAGAGCTCCTCCCAGCTCAGGAGTCTTCTGCCTACTCTGTTAGGATATCTTGTCGCTTTTGAGGGGTTCATTTTCCTGAAGACCTGGCAGGGTCATGGGACAGGGGCATTTTATTGTAGTTCCTGGTTTCTCTTTTCAAGTCCCTGGAAGTAAAGAAAGCTTCCTCAGTGTATTGAATTATTAAAGTAACTGGAGATAGAGAGAAGTTTCCAAATGCAAGAAGGTTTTTTTCTTCTTCCTGACCACCCACCCATCTATCCATCTGTCCATCCATCCATCTATCCATCCATTCATAAATTCATATATCTATGCAATTCATCTATATATCCATTTACCCCTGCAGCCAGCCATCCATTTTCTTCTGTAGTATAAAAAAAAGGCCCATATGGTGAGCAGAGATCATCTTCCATACTACTATGCAAAACAAGAGCATAGACAACTGGGGTATCATGGAGACTGCCTCCACCAGAAACCACCCACAGCAGCAGAAACTCTCTGAAATGGTCTTTCTTCTGCATAGAAGGCTTAATGCTAAAGACTACTAAAACACGTGAAAAGTAGGTTGAGAGATTAAAATTACCATCTCTATGCAACAACAATTAATGAGAAAAGAGGCCACGAATTTTAAAGGGAGCTAAGAGCGGTATATAGGAGGGTTTGAAGGGAGGAATGGGAAGGGGAAAATAATGTTATTATATTATAATCTCAAAAATAAAAGAAATAAAAATTAAAATTAGAATCTCAAACTTAATAAAGAGTTGTTCCTGGGTCTGGACAAAGGGGCCACCTGTCTGGCAGAAAGACTTAATCAAGATTAATTTAACAATTTCTTGATTTACAAAGTGTTACTAGGCATCATCTATAGGGAAAACGTGCATATACTGTCAAACTGGAAGTTCTCTGCCTACTTCCCCTTTAAGTTATGTAATTCTATCCTGGGCAAAATGCTTGAATGGCCAGGCAAAGGGTTAACCCCTAATTCCCCATAAGCATGATGCAGTAGATGATCCAAACACTGAGGAAAGATTTGGAGATGATGCCTATGAAGAAGGAAAAGCCTCTGACTATAGTAGTTAGAAATAGAGAAGACTGTCCCCTGCTGAGCCAGCTGAATTCTATGCTTCTGAGTAGGCTGTGAGCTCCATTATCTCCTTGGCCTCCAGTATCCCACCTAAGCTATATACTCCTGTGCTGATTGTAGAGGATTTTTATGGAGGAAGCTGATTGCTTTCCTTCACGGGATAGCATCCCTCTCAGACCAGAGCAATTAAGCAAGAGGTAATGAGAAAAGATCTCATTGGGACCTCCTGGCCCCAAGTAGGGAAGACAGTGAAATCCTTTTCTTCATTTCTTGGAGAGCCCGCCCCTGTCTTTGACTCCAGTGTTTGAGCTTTAAGGTTTCTTTCCACCCATGTGAGTCTATATTGCTCAGGAATGGTCCTGGAGAGGCTGTGAAACTGCTCTGAATCACAGTCAGTCACCTACAAAATTAGGCCTCATGGTGGTGACTCAGGAGAGAATTTGAGGACAACTCCCAACACACGGGCTAGCTCAGGACAGGCCCGTCTGTCTTGGCTTGTGGATCCCTTCCATCCCAGCTTCGTTCATTCAGAGAAGACTGACGTATGACCTAGCAGAGCAGTGCTTAAATTCCGTTGTTTAGTACGCCTTCTGGCCTTTGGTATGTACTGATGCTGTAGATGATGCCTGAACCATTTTGTTTTGTCACAAATTCTACCCACAGGAGACGTTTTCCTGTCCCCTCTTTAGGTAACTAGAAAAAAAATCCTTCCAAAAAGCTCTCCTTCCCTCACCCCAGCCTCTCTCTGCCTCCCGCCCTCCCTCCCTCCCTCCCTCCCGCCCTCCCTGCTCCTTATGTCCTCTCTCTTTCACCACCATCATTTAAAACATAATGTCCAGGCCTACAGAGATTACCTGCTGTCTAAGACATGCAATTACGATTCTTGCAGCGTATGGATGGCTTTCCTGGGCTCACCTACTTTCTACCTGGTACCCTTGAGCAACTTGGCCCTACTGTCAGTCATTTCTTCTCATGCCCCACCCCCATTCCTTATCCCTCCAATCTTGAGCTTGTTTTCCTATACCTTGGTATGATATCTTTCCTTCAGTAGAAGCACTATAAGCGATTTTTAGTGGCCTGTTCTTGCTCTGAACAATTAACCTGTGTAACTGAATGTGGTGTTTTGAATGAAAATGGCCCACAGGGAGTGACGCCATTAGGAGGTGTGGCCTTGTTGGAGTAGGTGTGGCTTTGTTGGATTAAATGTGCCACTGGGGTGGGCTTTGGGGTTTCAGAAGCTCAAGTCAAGCCCAGTGTCTCTCTCTCTCTTCCTGCTGACTGCTAATCTGGATGTAGAACTCACAGCTCCTTCTCCAGCACCATGTCTGCCTGCATGTCATCATTCCCACCATGCTTCCCTCCATGGAGATAATGGACTAACCTCTGAACTGTAAGCTGGCCCCAATTAAATGTTTCTGAATAAAGTTGCCGGGGTCATGGCATCTCTTCACAGCAACAGAAGTCCTGACTAAGACACTGAAACATGTCAGCAAGGCCTCATGTCAGGCACACCTGAACTCACCTATGATGAGAAGATAACCACCACCTCTATGGTGGGTGCTCCTCTTAGCCTGCCTGGCTAACTGAGCTAGTCAGTCATCACCCCACTTTGGGGTACTTCTTTCCTTCTCTCCCTCCTATATGCTCAGTTGAGAGGTACAAATGACATGGAGGAAAGATGAAAGAATGAATGAGTATTTAAAACATATAGAGTGAGCAAGCTACCATGAATAAGACCAGCAAAAGTATAAATATTAAAAAATTAAACGTGGAAAATGCCAGAGAATAATAGGATTCTTTGAACTCTTTTGCTTTGTTTTGGTTGTTTTTTTTTAATTTTTCTTTTTTGAGATAACTGTGGATCCACAAGCAACTAAAAAAATAATAATATAGAAAACTCCCATTACTTTGTATTAGTTACTTTTCTGTTACTGTAATAAAATTTTATAATCAAAAGTAATCAATAGAAGATAGTTTCTTTGGGTTTACAGTTTCAGATGGATAAGAGTCATGGCAGAGAGGTATGGAAGCAAGGTGCTGGAGCAGGAAGATCAGGGGTCACATGTCCATCCACATGCAGGAAGGAGAGAGTGAGCTGGAAATGGAGCCAGACTATGCAACCCCAAGGCTGACACACTTCCTCCAGCAAGGTTGCACCTCCTTAAAGGTACCAGAACCTCACCAAACAGAGCTACCACCTGGAGAGCAAGTGTTCAAATACATGAGCCTACAGAGGACATTTCTCATTCAAACCACAACATGCCTTTTACCTAGTTTCCTCTAAGGATATGAAACAGAATTTCAACTGAGAAGCAGGCATTGGTGAAGAAAGGTCAAGGTATAGCTCTGTCTCTCTTCCCATCTCTGAGTGTCCTTTCACAGGCATACCCACTTCCTCCATCCCAACTCTCTTCTTGATCCAAGGCTATTACCAACCTGTTTGGCATTTCAGTGACTTTGCCAGTTGAAGAAGATCATGTAATTAGAACCATAGCTATTGCTGAGTAGTGGTCCACATAGTGAATACACATAAGTCGACCAACCATTCATTTTTTTTAAGAGTATCTGGACTATTTACATCTTTGGGACTATTACAAACGAAAGTACCACAAGTATTCCTGCATAGGTTTGTGTGTGTGTGTAAGTTTTCATTCCTTTGGTGTGAAAGTCCAAGAATGCAGTTGCTAGGCTAGGTCTTATATGGGTGGTCACTGACTTACAGTGATTCAACTTGTGATTTTTCAACCTCACAATGGAGCTTTTTAAAAAACAATATACAGGCCGGGCGGGTGGTGGCGCACGCCTTTAATCCCAGCACTCGGGAGGCAGAGGCAGGCGGATCTCTGTGAGTTCGAGGCCAGCCTGGTCTACAAAGTGAGTACCAGGAAAGGCGCAAAGCTACACAGAGAAACCCTGTCTCGAAAAACCAAAAAAAAAAAAAAAAACAACAACAACAACAAAAAAACAATATACATTCAGTGGATATGAACTTTGAATTTTGATCTTTTCTTGGACTATTGCTGTAGTTTCATACAGTTGTGTGTTGATGGGAAGTAGTAATGAGAATCAGTCCCTTGTCAGTCATACAATTACAAGGGCGAGTCACACTCTACAGCATACTTTGTACTAAGTATGACACTCAGGAAGGATAGCTGTATTAAAAAGATTGTCTAAATATTGTACTAAATATATCTTCAAAGTATGTTATGCTGTTTTCTTTCTCTTCTTCCTGCTGCTGTTTCTCAGTTTTTTATTCTTTTTGTAAGACAAGGTTTCATAGAGCCTCAGGCTGGCCTTGAACTCACGATGTAGCCAAGGATGATCTTGAACTCCTGAGTCATTTCTTCTCAGCCTTTTAGTGCTGAGATAGCAAACAGATGTGACCACGCCCAGCTGATTTATGTCTTCAATTTAGGATGGATTCATGGGGAGGTAACCCACTGTCAACTGAGATGCATCTTGAATCACACGGTTTTCTGTCTTTAGTCCTCCAGTATCACTTTACAATCCCACCAGCAAAATCCAATTTGGCTGCTCTGCATTCTTCCCAGAATTTGGTATCACCGCAAATTTCATATTTTATCCATTCTAACATGTTTGTCGTGCTGGCTCATCACAGGTTTAATCTGTAGTTTCTGAACGGCTAATGACATTGAACGTATTTCTTCTATGTGCTTATCTGACATTTACACACCATCTTGGGTGAATTTCTGTCCATGTTATTTACCTATTTTCCACTTGACCTGCCTCGATGCTGCTGAGTTGTAAGAATTCCTTCTGTAGTCTGGGCACTGCTCCTCTGCTGAATATGTGGTTTGCAAATATTTTCTTCCAATCTGTGGGTGGTCTGTTCACTGTTCCATTAAAAGTTTTTGTAAAACAGTGCTGGATTTTGTTGAAGTCCAATTTAGCATTTCTGAAGATTTTTAAAAAATTAATGTGTATGTGTGTGAGTTTAGGTGAATGAATGTCACCCTTGTGCAAGTGCCCGCAGAGGCCAGAAGAGGGTGTCAGATTTCCAGAAGATAGAGTTACATGGGCGCTAGGAACCAAACTCAGGTC